TTAACGCTGCTAGCATATTCAAAAAGTGTATTACCAATCTTATTTTATTTTTTAATAATAGTCCCAAAAATACCAAAAATCTTAAAGATGCACAATGCAAGTTAGATTACCAAAAAGTATACGAAGTTCTTTTAGATGTAAAGATCCACTAGAACTCTACGTATCTTGTATGGAACTATTTACTTGAACTAAAAAATGCCATAACCTATCTTATTACTATTTTAAAAATTTTTTCAAAAAAAGATGACAAAGATGATGCTGATTATTTAGAGAAAATTAATTTAACAAACTCGGAATGGAGGTAATTTTTATTATTTAATTAACTTTTTATATTAGAGGGTTTCAAAGTTAATAATAAGTAGTGCATTTTAAAATTAAATAAGAGTTTGAAAAATCTTATTTTTATTTCAAATAGTATCCAGTTTTGTTAAAGTTAGATTTCCATATATTAACTTTGAAACCCCCTATTGCAAGAAATTCTAATTTAATTTTTTACTTTATTAATTAAATTATTGTATTATTATAGTTTACTTACAGATATATTAGCCATATTAGCACCCTTTTATGAGGCAACAAAAATGTTATTAGAGGTTTTATATGCTACACTTAATATAGTTTGCTGTACTATATATTATCTTAAAAAAACTGTAGCTTTACCAAACAATAATGACGAATATTATGTAGAGTTGTTATATGGTGAATTAGATGAAACTATAAATCAAAATTTGTCAACTAATATATCTTCAGATAATGAAATTATTGAGTTAGCAATTCGTGCTAAACAAGCTCTTAATATATCACGTGGTCGTATTCAAAGACATAAAAATATTTCAGTTAATAATCAGCAAAATTTAGATCTACGATTTAAGAAACATTAAGCTATTGAACCACCAGTTATTATTACAAATCTTTTGAAACAAATTAAAGCCACGATTTACTTAAGTATATACCAATACTGGGATTCTCCAAAGGAAATTATCTTAATTTCAGCACTGTTAGACCCTGATACAAAAAGCTTAAGTTCGTTACAGAAACTCAGCGTAATATTAAAATTGACAAGTTAAAAGAACTATATCGAGTTGAGCAATCTATTATTCTGAAAGAATTAAGTGATAATTTGGTTAATGATTTATCAAAGTTATTGTCTACAAGTAAACTATCAAAGGATAACTATGTTAATTATTCTTTACTTAGACTGTCTGATGATTCAGATAAAGAAAAAAATGAAGCATCAAATAAAGTTATTCAATATTTGGTTTTGTCAAAAGAAGCACAAGAATATAATGTGTTAGAATGGTGGAAAAAACGTGTTAATGTTTTTCCAGTTTTGTTTAAATTGGCAATAAAATATTTATCAATCTCTGCCACTTCTGTACCAAGCGAAAGGTTGTTTTCTGATGTAGAACTTCATTTATCTGCTCGTTGCTCTTGTTTAAAACCAGAGTTATTGACATCAATATTGTTTTTGAAAAGAAACATAAAATTATTTGATGTCTTTAAATTAGAAGATAAATAAGATTAATTATTATGTAAAACCAGATATATGTTTTACTTAATAAATAAATAAAATTTTTTTACAATTACAGTTTTCCGTAATATATAGAATACAAATCACAAAATTTTATTATAAAAATTTTTAATTGGCAATTTTTACTATATTATCTGCGCTATATAAATTGGCTGATAGGATACACACTAATTTTTTATACTACCGTAAAAACTTGAAATAATGAGTATGAACGTTAATTTGAAAATCACGATCCCTAAAAACAACATATATACTTTCAAAATAAGCTCTATGCGTGTCGTGAAATAACATGCACCTCACTATAGAAGCCTTTATAAACTATTAAGAAAAAATTTTAGAGATTTTGAAACTAGACACTTGATTCAAAATAACGCTCATGTGCGTACTTAAAATAATGTGCAGGTGGTCAAAATAACGTACAGATGCTTGTTATTTTTTTTTTTTTTTTTTAGTTTTAAGGTGACCTCTTAGTCGATTCTCTTTATTCAGTTATTAGTCAAGTTTTACCGTAC